CAAGCATCAGACACAGCAACCGAGACCAAGCATCAAGCACGAGCACCGACCAAATGAGTGGCAATCAATCATCAGCAAGTTCTGTAGCCACGGCGGGCCTCGGATCTCCACCCCCTCCCCTCCCCCCTCCCTATAGTTCGTTTTCACAGGTTCTAGCCACAAGGCGAGGCCTTCGTTTTTCCAATTCGTTTAACTGAGGAGCTCAATATATATATATATATATATATATATATATTATATCAAAGTAAGGAGAATATAAGAAGAGATTGAGACACAGAAACACGCTCTAGTTATTTACTTTTATTATTATATCAATCTCATCAGAGTCACCGCGTACAACCAACCAAACGACCCGAACTCCTAACAACAGAAAAACAGAGCACGCCAATTACAAACAGAACACTGGAACAGACTCTCAAGACACCCACCAACAAAAAAAAAAAAAAAAAAAAAACCGCCATCCTCGAACTAGAGATCAGTCCCATTAGCACTCCGCATGCTTTGCCCTCACTAAAATCAACCAGAGATCTCGATGGACTTACATCGGCCGCCTTCCTCCGCCGACCTTAGGCACAGTCACGGTCAGCACCCCGTCCTCCATCGCCGCCTTCACCTGATCCACCTTCGCGCCCTCCGGCAGCCCGAACCTCCTCACGAAGCTCCCGCTGCTCCTCTCAAACCTGTGCCACGTGTCAGTCTGTCTCCTCCTCCTCCCTCCTCTCTCCCCACTAATCTTCAGAACCTTCCCGTCCTCGACCTCCAGCTTCACCTCCTCCTTCCTCACCCGGGGAGTCTGCCTTGAACACGTGCGCCTCCCCCGTCTCCTTCCAGTTCCATCCGAGCCCCGGCGAAGGCCGCCACGTCGTTGGCGCGAGGGAAGGACACGGCGCCGTCGCCGAATGGGCTGAACGGGAGGAAGAAGTCGTCGCCGAAGGGATCGAAGATGCCGCTAGGGTTTCGGCCGGGGAATCCGAACCCGAAACCGCCGAAGCTTGGGATCATCGACATCTCGATTGATCGATTGGTCGGTTGCGGAGTCGAAACGAGAGAATATGTCTTGAGAAATTGGAGAGAATATTTCGAGTGCTTTGCTTCCTGATAAGTGAGCGACGAGGAACTGTTGTTTATACTAATTAATAGGGGAGATGGGACGCTGGCCGTTGGTTTCCAGATGATTCTGGAGTTTTCGTGATCGGACGGTGGTGGAGAGTTCTCCAGAAGCTTCTACCTTTTTCCCGGTCCATCACTGTTATATTAATGGGCACAGGAAGTCGTCAGGAGTTGGAAACAATGGCCCAATAGATCCAATTGCGGCCCACCGAATACCGCATTTGCTTATCTGGGTACCATTTTCACTTTAAGAAGACCCAGCTACGATCCATGTTCAACTGTTAAATTTTTTTTTGTGTTATCTGTTATTGAACTAAAGCCCATCGATATATGAGTACGTAATGTGACCACTTTTATCATCTCATTAAAAAGTTTGTTTGTAGAATTGACGATCCCTTGAAACTTCTCTTTCCACTCAGTCAAATTTACTGTACAAAATCATAGACCATGACCCGGGGAATATCAATATGTCAACCTAGGGTGTAATTTGTAATATGTAATTCACTGCAAAATAAATCAGCGGGAAATTGCATCAAGTTCAACTTTTAGCTAGTAGGTAAAGGTGGATACTCGGACAACTTAGCATGTTAGACAAGTAAAAAAAAAAACCTACAGCCCCTTTCAGTTATTACTGACTGAATAAATGGTTATATAAAAAACAACACATAATCGAAGTAGTTAAATATGTATGTGATGAAACACGGAGAAGGGGAAAAAAAATAAAGTAATCATAAAAAGCAATGAAAACACTTGGACTAATGTGATTTCAAAATCCCACTGAACATCATTTTGTTAATAAGAATATCACTGCAATTAAATTTAGACAAATCATACAACGAGATCATACATATCAGCATTCAAAGATCCTCCGCACGTTTAACTCCCCTTCTAATGTCTCATCAACATGCACGTACGTTCCCTGTGGTGCACTGCAGAGGTTGTTGGAGGCAATCCACTAAAGCAAGGCCACGTTGTTGGATTTAATCTAATAAATCTATTTGTTGGCACATATGATTAATCAATGTGTATTGCTATCTTTCAGGATAACCCACTAAA